TTAAAAAGAAAAAAGGAAATCCTGGGCCCAGGAGAGGAGGCAAGAGGAAACCAAGCCCAGCTGGGGATGGGCCTAAGGACAATGATTAACAGTTCTTCTTTTTTTAAAATTAATTTTCTTATTTACATTTAATTGTCATAAATCTTCATGACATACAATATGGTTTTTCAAAGCATGCATGCAGCACATGATAATCCAATCAAAGTTATTACTATTTACACATTTTCTTTTTTTTAATTTTATTTATATTTATTTATTTATTTATTTTAATTTGACCAGAGAGGACTAGAGTGAGAGAAGGGAGAGGAGAAGTGAGAAACCAAGCCACCGGGAATCAAACCACAGTTAGCCATGTGGGAGTCCAGTGCCCTTAACTACCACACCACATGCTGGCCCCAACTATTTACACATTTTCAACATTTTTTTGTCTGTTAAATGTTTTTGCTGAGCCCCTCTCACCCACCCTCTACAACCCACCCCCTCCCATATAGTCTCTGATATCTACGCTTGTCCTCCCTACTGTTATGTCTTCAAATCTTTCCATTTTTGCCATAGAGTGTAGACATATGGTATATATTGAGCAGGAACATACTGTATGTGTTTTTCATCAACTTATTTCATTTCATATTAAATCTTCTAGATTCATCCACTTTGAATCAAATGATAGAATCTCATTATTCTTTATATCTCAGTAATATTCTATTGTGTATATGTGCCACATTTTTCAAAATCCAGTCATCAATTTTGGGGCACTTAGGTTGATTCCATGACTTAGCAATTGTGAATAATGCTGCGATAAAACATGGAAGTGCAAGTGTCTTTTCAATTGAGTATTTTCCTATTCGTTAGGTAAATTACAAGAAGAGAAATTACTGGGTCATGTGGTAGTTCTATTTGTAAAATTTTGAGGAATATCCATATAGTTTTCCACAGTGTTTATACTAATTTACATTCCCACCAGTAATGCAGGAGTGTTCCTTTTTCACCACAGCCTCAACAGTACTCATTCTTTATTTTTTATTCATTTATTTATTTTTTAAATAATTATTTTATTTAGCTTTATTTATTTGTTTATTTTCATTTGACCAGAGAGGGACAGAGTGAGAGAGAGAGAGGAGAGAGGGAAAGCAAGAAAGCAAGCTGCCAGGACTGGGACTCAAACCACGGTCAGCCATATGGGAGTCCAGTGCCCTTAACCACCATGTCACCTGCCAGCCCCGTTTATTTATTTATTTATTTTTTACCATAACCATTCTGACTGGGGTTAAGTGGCTTATTATTATGGTTCTGATTTGTATTTCCCTTATGATAAGAGATGTTGAGTATTTTTTCATATGCTTTTTGGCCATTCATATGCCTTCCTTTGAGAGTTGTCTGTTCAGCTCATTTGCCCATTTTTTAGTTGGATTATTATTTTTTCTGCAGTTGAGCTACTTGAGTCCTCTATATATTCTGGCTATCAAATCCTTATATGAGGCATAGTTTTTAAGTATTTTCTCCCACTCTGTAGGTAATCTCTTCACTCTCCATCACCAGACAAGGGCATAACAAAAACAGAAGACTACAGACCAATATTCCTGATGAATATAGATGAAAAAAAATATCAACAAAATACTAGCAAATTAAATCTAACAACACAGTAAAAAGATTAAATACCATGACCATGTAGGTTTTATTCCAAGGATGCCAGGATGGTTCAACATATGCAAAACAATCAATGTAATACATCACATTAACAGAAGGAGAGATAAAACCCATATGATCATATCAAATGATGCAGAGAAATCATTCAATAAAATACAAGATTCCTTCATAATTCAAACTCTCAACAAAATAGATACAGAAGGTTCATTTCTCAACAAAATTAAAGCCATATATGACAAACCCATAGCTAACACAATACTGAATGAAGAAAAATTGAAAGCTTCTTTGGCTTTTTTAGAACCACTCCCAGGCTGCACCCTTCAATTTTCTCCTCCTTTTCAGATGTAGCTGCCCACCCATACTTGTGTATCTCACAACACACAACCACACATGGCGAATGTGCTCCTCCTTGGGAAAGGGCCAGAGAGCAGAGAGATGCTTCAGGCCCTGTAAGCAGACATCAGCACTGGGACATATACAGGCAATAAAACTAGAACAAGACAAGGTTGTCCATTTTCTTCACTCCTTTGGAAATCCTAGCCAACACAGACAAGAGAGAGAAATAAAAGGCATTCGAATAGGAGAGGAATAGGTGAAATTATCCCTATTTGCAGATTACATAATTATATACATAGAAAATACAAAAAGAATCCACAAAGAGGGGCCGGCAAGTGGCATGGTAGTTAAAGGCACTGGACTCCCACATGGCCGACCACAGTTCAAGTCTCAGACCTGGTGGCTTGCTTTCTCACTTCCTCTCTCTCTCTCTCTGTTTCTCTCTGATCAAACTGAAAAATAATAATGATAATAATAATAAATAAAAAGTTAAATAAAATAATTCTTAAAAAAAAGAATCCACAAAGAAACTCCTAGAAGTGATAAATGAATTCAGTAAAGTTGTAGGATACAAAATCACTATACAAAAATCTACAGCATTTTTATACAGCAATAATGAACAGACTGAGGCAGAATTGAAGAAAGTAATCCAATTTATAATAGCCATTCAAAAAAAAAACAAAACACCTTGGACCAAACCTAACCAAAGATGTGAAAGATCTCTACAAGGAAAACAATGAAAAACTGGAAAAATATATATATATATGATTCAAAAGAAAAGGAAAGATATTCCTTGTTCTTGGAGTGGAAGAATCAATATAATTAAAATGTCAATTCTACCCAAATTAATTTACAAATTCAATGCAATTCCAATCAAACTATCAGTAGCAGTCTTCACAGAAACAGAAAAAACAACCATAAAATTTGTCTGGAATTGCAAAAGACAATGCTGTGCAAAAAGAATAAAGCAGGAAGCATTTCACTACACAACCTCAAAATATATTACAGAGTTGTAATAAGCAAAACAGCGTGGTACTGGACAGAATAGAAAACCCAGAAATAAACCCCCTAGCATACAGCCAATTGACTTTTGACAAAGGGCACAAGACCATCCAATGGAGAAAGAAAGTCTTTTCAACAAATGGTATTGGAAAAGCTGGACAGTCATCTGCAGAAAAATGAAACTGACCCCTGTCTTTCATTATTAATGAAAATCCGCTCATATGGATCAAAGATCATAATGTAAAGCCTCAAACTTTAAAACCACTAGTGGAAATCACAGGGAAAACACTTGAAGACATTAGAATAGGCAAAGATTCCTTAAATAAGACCCCTCAGGTGCAGGCAACAATCACACACACACAAGATAAGTGGGACTGCAACAAACTAAAACGCCTCTGCACAGCAAAGAAGACAGCAGTTCTAGATGTGCCTAACGCTGCTCCTACTATCGTGTGGCTTCCCCTCATCTTCAGCTGCATTCTTCCCCACACTCCGTCTTTACAGGCTCTGGCTTCTTTAAAACCACCCCTGCCTGCACCCCTCGATCTGCTCCCCTTTTCAGATGGAGCTGCCCTCCCATGCCTCTTGTCTACTTCACAACACACAACACCACATAGTGAATGTGCTCTTCCTTGGAAAAGGGCCAGAGAGCAGAGATGCTTCACGTCCCACAAGCAGACATTGACACCAAAAAACAAATACAGACATACTTCATCTTTTGTTTTTGTTTTTGTTTTTGTTTTTGTTTTCAGTTTGCCAGAGGACACGTGTGCTCTCAGAGAAAGGGAAAGGGAGAAAATGTGTCCCACCCCCACGCACACCCCAACCCTTGTCCATTGAGCATATTACACCACAATCCCTTCTCCATTTCTCTATCTTGTTAGGATTTGGCATATATATACGCATGTGCCCTGCCTGGTTTTCAAGCTGCGGGGCTGAGATTCAAGCTATAGTCAGCCATGTGGGATCCAGTTTCCCTTAACCACCAGGCTACGGGCTTGCCCCAGGAGCACTTCATCTTCACTTTTTCTTTCTTTTTTTTTTTTTAAGAGAAATTTTTCCGAGAGGAGGCACTCCCTCACCAGAGAGACAGAGAGAGACAGAAAGTGAGAAATCACCCCCCAGTGGGGATGGCCACACTGCAATCCCTTCTCCTCCATTCTCCTCTTGGGATTTTGGGCATACATGCACATGTGAATTTCAAGCCATCGGGTCTGGGACTCCAATTGCAGTCGACTATGTGAGAGTTCAGTAATGTTACCATTTCGCCACCTGCTGGCCCAACATTTTTTTTTCTTAATGTCTCCTTTTTTTTTCTTTATTCATAATAGAGCATATGGGCACATGTGAGACAGAGAGAAAGTGAGAGAAAGATACACAGAGACAGAGAGAGAGGACCACCCTCCTACCCTTTCCAAAGTCTAGTCACACCTGTTCATGCCATGGTCCCCTTCCTCCAGTCCTCCAGCCCATCGAATCTTGGGCACTCAATCATGTGCCCAGTGTGTTTCTGACTGACTGGGCTAAGGACTTGAACCACAGTTGTGGGATCTAGCTTTTCTTGAGCTTTGCATTACCGCTGCGCCAGTCCCAGGCATTTTGTGTGTGTGTGTGTGTGTGTGTGTGTGTGTGTGTGTGTGTATTAAACACCTTCATGCGATTTTGAAGTATGTCATAATTTGCATAGCACTATTCATTTTGTGAAGCTTTTTAAAAACACTTGCAATGAAAGTGTGATGAGCAGACTGCACTTTGGGAAATGACTGTTCTCTACTTTAAGGACATATTTTACAGTTTACAGCGTGCTTTAACATTTACGCACCTCCTTGAGAATTACAACAGGCTTTATGGTTCAGAAAGCACTGTTGATTTTTTTTTCAAAGCATTTCAACAGTTATAGAGCACTTTATGGTTTCTCTAGGGAAACTGAAGGGGCACAAGGGTCAAGGTACCGGTATGGGTTTGGTCTTCCTTTCTGAGATTTGAGCATTAACAAATGTACTGTTTTTCCTCTCCAGGGCAAAATACTTCAAAGGGAAAAAAATCCATGGAGAAATTGACATTAAAGTAGAACAGGTAAGTTGGAGCAGATAGACCTGAAGGCCAGCCTTCCAGACTGCAAACTAAGTGGGCATTTTTTGTGTGGTGTGGGTGAATCATTCATTTTCTCTCCTTCCCAGGCTGAATTCTCGGATCTCAACCTTGTGGCTCATGCCAATGGTGGATTCTCTGTGGACATGGAAGTTCTTCGGAATGGGGTGAAGGTCGTGCGGTGAGTATAAAATGGTATCTTGGTGTTATGGGAGAGGCTTAAGAGCTGGGGGAGAGTCTGCACCTTCCCACACTCATCCTTCTGTGAGCAAGAACTTAGGCATGGAATGTGGGAATGTGTAGCTTTTCTTCTGAAGTAGAGCCAGGGATCCCAGCAGGCCACAAGCCAAACCACTCAATTACTAATTTAACCAACATTTCGTAAGCATCTACTAATCCTAGGTGCTGCTCTCAGAACTTTACATCCAACAAATATTTACTTAGCACCTACTGTGTGCCAGAAGCTGTTCTACTAGAAGAAAAACACACCCTGCCCTCACGAAGTTTACCTTCTACCAGAGAATACACATAGCAGACTAATAAATAAGAACATGTAAAAGTACTCAGAAAAAAATAGAGCAATAAAGCAGATGTAGGGATTGTTGGATGGTGGTGGGATTTGCAGTTTGGATAGGATGAGCGAATAGCATGAAAGACATTTGAGGAAAGACCTGCAGAAGATGAAGTGATCCATGCCTCCATATGCCTGTGTCCAGAGGGGAACTGTTTTAAGCAGAGGGAACAGCCTGCGTAGAGGCCCTGAGGCTACAACTGGTTCTGGGCAGCATACTTTGAGGACAGTTGGTAGTCAGAGATTGGAGACAGGGCGCTGTCAGCTGAGTGGGTAAGCTGCAAGGTCACCTTGGTGAGGAAGAGAGCAGGTAGGAAAGGCTACAGGAGATCATCATAGGAGGAAATCATAGAAAGGGTGCACGAGGCAGAGGGAGCAGCTTGTGCATGTGCGCAGAGGTAAGAAACCACTTGGCAATTTCTGGAAGCTGTGGCATTTTAGAAACTTGGTCTTTGTTCTGGAGGTGGTGGGGAGCTTCTAGGGGTGGGGGAACCCTCAACACTCCTACCCCTGCCACCCCAGGTCTCTGAAGCCGGACTTTGTGCTGATCCGCCAGCATGCCTTCAGCATGGCACGCAATGGAGACTACCGCAGTTTGGTCATCGGGCTGCAATATGCTGGAATTCCCAGTGTTAACTCATTGCATTCTGTCTACAACTTCTGTGACAAGCCCTGGGTGGTAAGTGACAGGAAGAGTGCTGCTGGCAGAGGAAACAGCTCTTGCATGCATGTGGGACCTGGAAACCATTCTGTGATTTGTGGGAAGTGAGGACATTTAGAAGCTTGGAGTCCCAGCTTGGTGAAGGACTTGCTGACGCCTCTCTCTTGGCTCTCACAGTTTGCCCAGATGGTCCGGCTACACAAGAAACTTGGGACAGAGGAATTCCCTCTAATTGATCAGACCTTCTACCCCAACCACAAAGAAATGGTGAGTTTGGGGGAAATGTAGGAGATAGGAGAGAAGAGCCATAACTATAGCAATGATATTAACAGTGGGTATGTTATCAATGGTACAATATCAGAGAGAGCAGCCGGCACGTGCATGTGGAAATACGAAGGTGCTTTGTGATAGGGTCTCTTAATGTCGTGACTTGACTTACCATTACAAGTATGAATGAGACCATCAGTCCCAATATTTTTTCAGTCTGGTTGTACTTATTATCTATTCTTGTCAGTCTTAAACATTGGTTTCTTATGTAAATGAACAGATTTCATGCAATGAATCAGATATTACATATGGAAATCAAGTCATTGTTATTAACATTATCAGATACTCCTCCTGACAGAAATTTTACCCATATTTCAAATTGGATTGCCAATAAAAATTATTAGTAGAGGGCCAGCTGGTGGTGTGGTAGTTAAGGCAACTGGATCCCACATGGCCAACTGCACAGTTCGAGTCCTGGACTTGGCAACTTGAAAAACCTGCTGGGTACATGTGCATGCATGCCAAAAATCCCAAGAGGAGAAATGGAGAAGAAGGGATATTGTGGCATGACCATTTCTCATGAGAGGTGCTTTCTCACTTTTTCTCTTTTTTCTCTTTCTGTCTCTTTCCAGGGAGCACATGCATGCACACTCTAGAAAAAAAAATTAATTATCAATAGCAATGCTATAAATTAAATTGTTTACAAATGGAAATTGAATTTTTGGTTAGAATTATCATAAAATATAATCACTAATATTACAAATTATCATCGATACTGCAAATTATCATTACAGAAATAATGAGTACAATGCTATGAACTATAGTTCCTAATAGAAATCAGATAATCATTACTAGTATCATCAAAGAGTGTAGCTATTATTACAAATTATTATTGATAGTATAAATTATACTGTAATATAAATTAGAAGTGCCTGTTTTGAATAATATTATACTTAATAATAGAAGTTGAATTATCACTACTAAAATCATAAAATATAACAATTTGGTTTCCATTGAATTAATGATTTGATATTTATCTGTAAGTAAACTTAATTCATAATATTGTCAACTTGTAAAGGCCATCATAATTATTTTTGGAAGAATAATTTATTTATTATCATTCTTTTTCAATTTTGACCAGAGACAGAGAGAAAGAGAAGAGAGAAACAGAGAGCAAGCCGTCAGGTCCAGGACTTGAACAATGGTTGGCCATATGGAAGTCCAGAGCTCTTAACTACCACACTACCCCAGTCACCATAATTTGTAATATTGATAAGAATTTGTAATATTAATAGCAATGCTTATTTAATCAAGTTAGTAATGTTGGCTATGTACGTGTGTGTGTGTGTGTGTATTTGCCATAGGGTGTGTGTGCTCACTGGAGAGTCACAGAGACGGAGAGAAATGGAAAGTGAGAAATCACCCCCATGGAGGAATGGCCATACCACTAATCCCTTCTCCTCCATTCTCCTCTCGAAACTTTGGGCATGCATGCACACTCGCCTGACACGTCTTTTTCAAGCCGCCAGGTCCAGAACTCAAGCCACAGAGTCAACCATGTAGGATCCATTGCCTTAACCACCACACCACCTGCTGGTCCAGTAGTTGTTATATTTTTATATGCTGTGAGATTCAGTTTGTTAATATTTTGCTGAGGATTCTTGTATCTATAATTCATAAAGGATACTGGTCTATAGTTTTATTTTCTTATAATGTCTTTATCTGCTTTTGGTATAAGGTATAATATTTCCTTCTCTTTCATTTTTGGGAAGATTTTGTGAAGATTGGTGTTAATTCATTTAAACATTTGGTAGAATTCACCTGAAGATAACTGGTCCTAGGTATTTCTTTGTAGAAAGTTTTACTTAATTCCTAATTCAATCTCTTCACTTGTTATAGGCCTATTCAGATTTTCCATTTTTAAGTCATTTTTGGTAGTTTGTTTCTTTCTAGAAATTTGTCCACTTCATGTAGGTTTTCTAATTTGTTGGAATACAATTGTTCATAATACTCTCTTATAATCCTTTTCATTTCTGTAAGGTCAGGAGTAATATCTTCTCTTTCATTCCTGATTTTAATTTTTTTAAAGAATTATCCATTTAATTTTATTTATTCATTCATTTATTTTAATTTGACGAGAGAGACATACAAAGAGAAAGAGAGAGAGAAAGTGAGAGTGATAAAGCAAGCCACCACGTCTGGGACTTGAACCGTGGTCAATCATGTGGGCGTGTCCAACACCTTAACCACCACACCACCAACTGGTCCCTCATTCCCGATTTTAGTGATTAGAGTTTTCTTTTTTCCTTAGTCTAAAAGCTTCTCACTTTTGTCAATCATTTCAAAGAACCAATTTTTTATTTCTTTGATTTCTCTATTTTTTTTCTATCCTCTATGTCATTTATTTCCACTTTGATGTTTATTATTTCTTTCTCTCTGCTTGCTTTTGGCTTAGTTTGCTCTTATTTTTCTAATTTCTTAAGCTGGAAATTTAGGTTGTTGATTTTTTTAAAGAATTATTTATTTTATTTTATTTATTCATTCATTTATATTAATTTTACCATAGAGAGACACACACACACACATAGAGAGAGAGAGATGAAAAGAGAGAAAGCAAGCCACCAGGCCCAGGACTCGAACTGTGGTCAGCCATGTAGGAGTATCCAGCACCTTAACTACCATACCACTCACTGGTCCGGTAGGTTATTGATTTTTATATCTTTCTTCTTTTAAATATAAACATTTACAACTATGAATTTCTTTCTAAACACCACTTTAGCTGCATCCCTTAAATTGGTATGTTGTGCTTTCATTTCCATTCATTTTAAAATGTTTTCTGGGGACCAGATGACATAATGGTTACCTTGCTGGACTCCCATGTAGACAATCACAGTTCAAATCCCGGACCCAGTGACTTAAAACTCACTCCAGGCACATGTGTGTGTATGCCTAAGCTCCCGAGAGGAGGGACCAGCAGTTGGCATAATGGCTATGTCTCTAGACTCCCATGTAGTCGACCGCAGTTCAAGTCCCAGACCCGGTGGCTTAAACTCATGCCGGGTGCATGTGCGTGCCCAAGATCCTGAGAGGAGAATGGAGGAGAAGGGATTGCTGCTGGCCCCAATCTAAAAATTTTTAAAGTGTTTTCTGATTTTTTCTTTGACTGATTGGTTATTTAGCAATGTTTTGTTTATGTTTCATAAATCTGCACATTTCCCAGCTTTCCTTCTGTTATGGATTTCTACTTTCCGTTGTGGTCAAAAAACATACTTTGTATGGTTTCAATCATTTTACACTTATTGATACTTGTTTTCTGGATTAAAATGTAATCTGCTGGAAAATGTTCCATGTTCATTTGAGAAGAATGTGTTTTCTGCCGTTGTATGGGTAGAATGTTCTATTGATGTCTCTTAGGTCGAGCTGGATTTTAGCATTGTTTAAGTTTTTCCTAGTTGGAGGAACCAGCAGTTAGCGTAATGGCTATGTCGCTGGGCTCCCACGTAGTCGACCACGGTTCGCGTCCTGGACCCGGTGGCTTAAAACTCACGCTGGGCGCTTGTGCGTGCGTGCCCACGATCCCAAAGGAGAATGGAGGAGAAGGGATTGCGGCATGACCATCCCTCCTGGGGGGGTGATTTCTTGCTTTCTGTCTCTATGTCTCTCTGTCTGGCAAGTACACGTGCCCTGTAGTGAAAATCTCTCTAAAAAAAAAAGTATTTACAAGTTGGTCCTTTTTCTAGTTGTTTTATCCATTTTTTTAAAAGTGGGATATTAAAATCTCCAGCTATTACTGTTGTTTTGTCTATTTCTCCCCCTAGTTCTGCCTATTTTTAAAATTTATTTTGTGGCTCTATTTTAGGTGCATATATATATTTGTCATTGTTATATCTTCTTTATGGATTGACCCTTTCATCATTATAAAATGCCCTTTATCTCTAACAATTTCTGTTTTAAAGTGCATTTTATCTGATGTTAATGTAACTATTCTAGCTATCATATGATTACTGTTTGCCTGGTACATAGTTTTCTATCCATTCTACTACTTTATATCGTTAAATCTAAAATGTGTCTCTCATAGACAACATATAGTTGGGTCATTTTTTCACCCATTCTGTTTGTCTCTGCCTTCTTTTTTTTTTTTTTTTTGGAGAGGTTTTTGCTTGGCACGTGCACTCACCAGACAGACAGAGAGAGACAGAGAGATAGAAAGCGAGAAATCACCCCCCCAGGGGGATGGCCCCACACCGCAATCCCTTCTCCTCCATTCTCTTCTCGGGATCTTGGGCACGCACGCACATGCGCCTGGTGTGAGTTTTAAGTTACCGGGTCCGGGACACGAACCGTGGTTGACTACATGGGAATCCAGTGACATAGCCATTATGCTAACTGCTGGTCCCTGTCTCTGCCTTCTAATTAGAGTGTTTAATTCATTTACATTAATGTAATTACTGATAAGGTAGAATTTATGTTTGCAATTTTGCTTTGTTTTCTGTATATTTTGTTCCTGTGTTCCTCCATTAATACTTTCTTTTGTGTTAAATAGATATTTTCTTGTGTATCTTGTTTTATATACAGAGATTTTTGCTATAATGCGCTCACTGGAAAGATAGAGAGGCAGAAAGTGAGAAATCACCCCCCGGGGGGATGGCCATGCCCCAACCCCTTTTCATCCATTCTCCTCTCAGGATCTTGGGCACGCACACACATGCACCTGGCGTGAGTTTAAGCTGCCAGGTCCAGGTCTCAAACCATGTTCGACTACATGGGAGTCCAGTGAAATAACCATTACGCCATCTGCTGGTCCCACTTGTATATCATTTTAACTTTCACATTTTTTTCTTCCTTATGTATTTTCAAATATTATTTTCTCAATGATTCCCCTGGAGTCTACAATTAACATCTCAATTTATACTACTCCAGTTAAAATTCACTAAATTTATTTTAATAGTATAGAAAAACTTTACCTCAGGGATAGCAGGTGGCGTGGTGGGTAAGGCACT